AGAAGGACACTGACAAACTGGAACGTGTCCAGAGGAGGGCAACCAAAATGGTCAAAGGCCTGGAAATGATGCCTTATGAGGAACGGCTAAGGGAGCTAGGCATGTTTAGCCTGGAGAAGAGGAGGTTAAGGGGTGATATGATAGCCATGTTCAAATATATAAAAGGATGTCACATAGAGGAGGGAGAAAGGCTGTTTTCTGCTGCTCCAGAGAAGCGGACACGGAGCAATGGATCCAAACTACAAGAAAGAAGATTCCACCTAAACATTAGGAAGAACTTCCTGACAGTAAGAGCTGTTCGACAGTGGAATTTGCTGCCAAGGAGTGTGGTGGAGTCTCCTTCTTTGGAGGTCTTTAAGCAGAGGCTTGACAACCATATGTCAGGAGTGCTCTGATGGTGTTTCCTGCTTGGCAGGGGGTTGGACTCGATGGCCCTTGTGGTCTCTTCCAACTCTATGATTCTATGATTCTATGATTCATTTGTGAAAAGGCGGGGAACTTGCTAGAAATAAACATAACTTGCCTTCCTGTATCTAAAAAGAATTTATGACCTTTTGAGCTCGTCTCAAGGCCCAGACTGAAGTGGGCTCTAAACTGCCATTGCAAGCCTAGGTGATGTCTAGGAACTCATCTCACTGGGGACAGTGTGGGCCTGTTGTATCTTCCCCATCCCCAAAATCAGCAGATAATAATGTGAGCCTCATATGCAGGCAAGTGCAGAACATTGTGACACAAGGTAAACGAGGTGAAGTAGACGGAACGAAAAGGATGTGCATCAGCCATTTTATGTGGTTGCATTTCCTGTAACATCTACCAGAAAAGTCAAGTAGCTTCGAAAAGGTTTGGGGATTTGCAGGTTTTGTTTGGAAACCCGGTTGACAAGAGGCATCCAGACAATTTAAACACATTTGCAAGTTTTTGCTAGAACTTTTAAAAACCACAACGATGCATCCAGTGTTATGCTTGGCTCCTAATATACTTCCCTCTGTCTTTCTACTCCTTTTCCACTTTCCCCGTGTATTTTAGTTTGCTGTTCCAACAATCTTTCTCGAGCTTGCGTGCCAGAGAGCAGCATCTGTATAGGAACCAACAGATCCACCAGTGTGGCTATTCTTGTTGTTTAGTCGTGTCCGACTCTTCGTGACCCCATGGACCAGAGCACGCTAGGCACTCCTGTCTTCCACTGCCTCCCACAGTTTGGTCAAACTCATGCTGGTAGCTTCGAGAACACTGTCCAACCATCTCGTCCTCTGTCGTCCCCTTCTCCTTGTGCCCTCCATCTTTCCCAACATCAGGGTCTTTTCCAGGGACTCTTCTCTTCTCATGAGGTGGCCAAAGTATTGGAGCCTCAGCTTCAGGATCTGTCCTTCCAGTGAGCACTCAGGGCTGATTTCCTTAGAATGGAGAGGTTTGATCTTCTTGCAGTCCATGGGACTCTCAAGAGTCTCCCCCAGCACCATAATTCAAAAGCATCAATTCTTTGGCGATCAGCCTTCTTTATGGTCCAGCTCTCACTTCCATGCATCACTACTGGGAAAACCATAGCTTTAACTATACGGACCTTTGTTGGCAAGGTAATGTCTCTGCTTTTTAAGATTGTGAAAGATTGTGTGATCCATGGACCAGTGCTGGTCCGCAATGTTGGGTGGCCCAGGTTGGGTGGGATGCTTCAGGGACGAAATTTGGTACTGGTTCCTGGCCCATTGGGTGGGGGAAATCCCACTCCAGCACATCAGATAGCTTGAGAAGCACTGATAAAAATAATACTTTCACCACTTCAGTGAACTGCAGAAACATTGTTAGTAGGGCTAAGCCAAAGGGGGATATCTCGTGATTTTTTTCATCAGTGTAAGAAAGGGATCCCTTTGGGTAACTCCCCAAATTGCTGCAAAAGAAGATGGAAAAGTTTGCCTCTTTCGGAAGCACGGCTCTGCATGGGTGTCATTGACTGGGAGGGGAGAATAATGATCCCCGAATGAGTAGGATCTCATGCAGCCAGTGTCGGAAGTATTAATAATGCTCTGAACTGGTTTTGTCTGTGCTCAGAAACCACAGCAGGCAGCCAAATCGAATTGGGTAGCATTGCCGAGTGGTCTTGCTCACCACATAGACATAGAAAGTGTTAGAATAGCAGTAGGGGAAACAATTGCAGCAAACACCCTTAGGAGGAAGTGGAAGATTTACACTGCAGATTATTTTGGAAAACATAGTTCATTGCATCTATAAACCCCTCTTAAAACCAGTTTTCCCAGGGTGTAACTTACTCCCTCTCCTCTTCCAAAAACACTACGATGGAAACTTGGTTTTCGAATGTAATCTGTTCCGGAAGCTGTTCAACTTGCGAAACGTTCAAAAACCGAGGAGCAATGGGCAGTCAGCAAAATCCATTGAGGGGGGAAAAGGAAAAACTTGCAGTGGAAGCCGTTCGACTTTCAGGGAGAATTTGAAAACGGAAGCAATTACTTCCGGTTTTTCGGCAGTTGGCTTCCGAAACGTTCGGTTTCTGAGATGCTCAAAAACTGAGATTCCACTGTATTTTGAAATTAAGCTTTGCCCCCTCTTTGCTTTAAACCAGGCGTAGGCAAACTCAGCCCTCCAGATATTTTGGGACTACAACTCCCATCATCCCTAGCTAACAGTACCAGTGGTCAGGGATGATGGGAATTGTAGTCCCAAAACATCTGGAGGGCCGAGTTTGCCTATGCCTGCTTTAAACCTTGCAGCTTCTCCCGAGGTGATTTTGCAGCAATAGGGTGAGTGGCACCTGCTCAACTTGTCTCTGGGCTACCCTACAGTCATTTCACAGGTGCCCCAGGTACCTAGGTAAAGTTTTCTTTAAGGGGGAAAAATGCACATTATACCTTAGAAGGAGGGCTAGAAACCAGGAGAGCAATTTTAATTTTGGAGATTCCTGAGGGGGGGGGAGCAAGGGGGAAAGTGATGGGGTGGGGGAGAGATTTTCTGCATGCCACAAGTATTACCAAAAATGCCTGGAGATTCTTAGAGGTATTTGAAATGGGTGGGTTAGATATGGAGCATAACTGCCTGCAATTTCACTGTGCCCTGCGGCATAAGTTGGACCCTTGATCCCTCGCCACATCTCCAAAATATAGACACAGACATCATGAGGGCAAGACATGCAGCTTATTCTGTGGGTATGGAAACAAGACGGTGCCCCAGATTCCTAGTGTCAACAGACACTTCAGAATGTAAAAAGGAGGGCAGGCTTTTTGTACCTTTAACAGGTGGAGAAAATCAACAGGTGTAATTTCTGTGTTTGGGAAAGTACCAGTTGAACGAATCATCAGAATGATTAGCGCCACTGAACCTCTTGTTGAGAAAGCCAGCATTCCTAATTTCTATTTACTTTTTTTATCAAATATCAAATCCAAACTCTTCTTCTTCTTCTTCTCTGGAAGGCCACAGGTTCCCGATCCCCAACAAGGGTAAGAAATCTAAATCTGATCCATTTCCTGATTCAGATGTCACTGACAACAGTTCAGCAAACCACAATATCTTCTCAAACGAAAGTGTGGGGCCCGTGGTTAATGGGGAGAAAGCACAAAGACGCAAAGCTTTTTCCGATAAAGCTTGATAAATGATGTGATGTCTGAACTGGGCCACACTCAACGTAGCCCCAGATAGATCCCACCGGGGTCAATGGGATCTTCTTGCAATTAAGTTTGTGTAGGATTGCATTGCTCTGGTGAAAGGCCCATCAAACAGGATAGTCATCGAGCATGCATTTCCAAAGAAACTCCTCTTCATAGGCAAGACAGATCCCATCACACGATAACTTAATTGTCACAAGACATTACATATGACACAGTGGACATTCTGTTTCAGTGTATGTTCAAAATCTCAGCCAGAGCATTAAGATCTAGGCTGGAGGCGTAAAGATGTCTTTTCAGACCGGTTCAGTTCATAGTGTTAACGTTGCCAAATCCAAGCTCCTGGAAATTGTCGTGAATATCCCAAGCTTTAGGAGCCTTTCACCATAGTACTTGTAGTTGCAAGATTATTGTGTTTAGCATGGAGTTGAGCAAGATCAGGGCCGAGGGTGTGGATACAGCTGGCAACCTAGATCTGATGATGATGATGATGATGATGATGACAAAATTTTATTACTTATACCCCACCCCCATCTGGCTGGGCCTCCCCAGCCATTCTGGGCGGCTCCTGTTGGCATTCCATTCCCCCGTTGTGCAGATGTGTGGAATTGTTTTAATTACATGTCTGTTTTTTACATTCCAGCACTGATTGCTGGAGTCTTGTGAGCGGAAGTTCCGTTCTGTATTGCTTTTGTTTCCTCCTTCTCTCTGAGAGCAAGAAGGAGAGGAGCCATGTTTTCCTGGTTTGTATATATAAATAAACTAGCTTAGTGCTCACACCTCAGGCCTGGCTTCTGCTGATGTTGTTTCTCTGCTAACGTGTGCTCAGTGTCTCTGGACATGAGTCACAGAATCTCATCGGGGAAGAAGAATGATGGATTTCAGGAGCAGCACGCAGATCAGAGAGACAGGCTGGCCGTTACCCCAACAGCTCCCAACAAAATATCAAAAACACGATAAAACATCAACCATTAAGAACTTCCCTAAACAGGGCTGCCTTCAGATGTCTTCTAAAAGTTAGATAGTTGTTTATTTCCTTGACATCTGATGGGAGGGCGTTCCACAGGGTGGGTGCCACTACTGAGAAGGCCCTCTGCCTGGTTCCCTGTAACCTCACTTCTCGCAGTGAGGGAACCGCCAGAAGGCCCTCAGAGCTGGACCGCAGTGTCTGGGCAGAACGATGGGGGTGGAGACGCTCCTTCAGGTATACTGGGCTGAGGCCATTTAGGGCTTTAAAGGTCAGCACCAACACTTTGAATCCTAGCTTCCCCCACCTCTGGCAGGCAACTTTGTTAGGTGGATGGGTTCTGCCCACCTCTCAGACATGGGGCATTGAAAGGTAAAATAATGCAAATGTATTTATCACTATGTTATGTGTGTTTGTTTCAGTGACTGCTGCAGGACCGAACGTGACCTCCGCAGCTCCCCATTCAAGTTCAATAACAAGTATGTCTCTACTTAATCTTTTTTTTTCCCCTTCTGCTTTACTAAGATGAAAGTACTTGCATCTTTGGCCCCCAAATCCAAGGCAAATGAAGTCATTTGCTTATCCGAACAGCTTGTAGAAGGGGGGAATTTCTCTGTTCTGAGAAATTGCATAACTGGCATTGGGAAAGAAGGATTGTGTTGAAGAAGTCAAGGACATCCTTGTTGGAGTTGCTGCTCAGGAATGACTGATACACTTTTTTTACACATTGGGCAGGTCAGGTTTATTATTATTATTTGGCTGAGAGTCTTAAGGTTGCAATTCAAATAAAGCACCCTTTCAGGCAATTCCATTTAGGGGGCAACCCTATGGCAAGAGCCTTGGGGTGCAGGTATCTGGCTCACCGGGCTACAATTCCCAGAGTTTCCTCTGAGGTTGATCATTAAACCACTCTGGGAATCGCAGCTCGGGGGATGGGGGTCTGTTAACAACTCTCACCGCCCCTCACAAACTACATCTACACTACACAAACTATAATTTTATAATGAATGATTTTAGAGTGTTGTTTGTGCTGTACTTTTGCACTGTTTTATTGTTGTTAGCCGCCCTGAGCCCGGCTTCGGCTGGGGAGGGCGGGATATAAATAAAAATTATTATTATTATTATTTCCCAGAATCCTTTGGAGGAAGCCATGATGGCTTAAAGTGCATGTCTGAAATAATGGTGTGTTGTTATATTTTGGAGTGACATCCACAGTTGTATTTTAAGCAGTAATTATTTATTTATCTATCCTATCCTACCCTGCCTTCCAAAGGAGCCCAAGGCGGCAAACCAAAAGAATAATAAAATAATGCAATTTAAAATATAAACGTTAAGAACATTGAAAACGATCTAATTATATGCATTCCTGTATCTAAAGCCCAAATGCATACAATTTAAGAGTAACTGAGTTCCCTATGTGCCCAGCACCCAATGAAATCCACACATGGCACTCCAACGACCTTATTGTTATTCAGAAGAACTTTTTTTAAAGTTATTTTCTTTCTCATCCCACCCCCATGAATCATAGAGTTAGAAGTGACTATGAGGATCATCTAGTCCAACTTCCTATAATGCAGACACATTTCTCCCATTGGGGGGGCCTCAAATCCATGACCCTGATCTAAAGTTGTAGGGTTGATTGGTTGGTTCGTTTTTAATTATTCTGCTGACTTTTGAGAAACTTTTATTTTGGAGTTGTTGGTTCCAAACATCTAGCAAAGGTACCGGGGGCCAAAAAAATGAAAAGGGGGGAGGGGACCCCCCAACTCAAAAAAACAACCCAGCTTTTGAATGTTTCATCATAGATTAATTACCTGCTTCGGAGAAACCACAGCTGGGCATGTTGCCATGTGCGAGTTAAGGCAAGATGTGGCACAAGTCATCGTTCCTATGCCTTTCACTGGCAAAAAGCAAACGTTGCCTTTTATTTGTGAAACGCTTTCTTCTCTATATTCTATTATTTGTCCTCCCTCCTTTTTGAACGCTCGGATGCTACTTTTGTCTTCTGTGTTGTTGCTTAAGTACGGTTTGGATTAATTTTGCTGCTCTTGTAAACCTTGATATTTTATTATGTGATTGAGGTTCAAGCGTTGTATTTGCAAAACGAGCTTGGCAATTGAAAAGTATTGAGCTTAATTTTACCCACAGCCCCATTCCTCAAGGCTGTGTGTGTGTGTGTGTGCGCGCGCGCACACACGCTAAATGTTGATATTTTTATCTCAGAACTTTGTACATGTTCCAAGAGGGAACCAAGAAACAGCTTTAACCTGTGAAGGAACCTCTGTGCAACTGGGGATGCTTGACTCTGCAAATTCCCTAATTGTACAAACAGAGCCACACACAAGCACTCTGTACATGCTCAGGCTCTTTTACGAGTTGCTCTGAATGTGTCACGAGGGCTGAATGGACAAATTCACGAGACTCAAGGCAGATAGAAGCCTTCCCATCATGGAGCTGGGTGTTCTGGTCTCCGGATGGAGGGGTGGGTTCAAACTGCACTTCTGGCACATCTGTTTTGGAGACCCAGTGTGGTGTAGTGGTTCAGATGTCAGACTCGGACCTGGGAGACCCGGGTTCAAATCCCCATTCAACCATTGGACGACTTTCGGCCAGTCAGTTCCTCTCAGCCTAACTGACCTCACAGGGTTGTTTGGGGGGTTAACTGATCAAGGGGAAGAACAATGTATACCACCTTTGTGCTCTTTGGAGAAAAGCTAGGATATAAATAAAATAAAATAAATTAAAGTAGTGAGGGAGGGGCAGGAATTGTGGTTCCACTTCCTTCTCTATGCACAAACACAAACATTCCCTGTGATAGGTGGAGAGCATTGACGAGTCTATCTGTGAAATTTTCTCACACCTATTTGAGGACCTTCAAGCATCTACATTGACCCGTTGTATTGACTAAACAGGGACACGGGTGGCGCTGTGGATAAAACCTCAGCGCCTAGGACTTGCCGATCCCATGGTCAGCGGTTCGAATCCCCGCGGCGGGGTGCACTCCCGTCGTTCGGTCCCAGCACCTGCCAACCTAGCAGTTCGAAAGCACCCCCGGGTGCAAGTAGATAAATAGGGACCGCTTACTGGCGGGAAGGTAAACGGCGTTCTGTGTGCTGCGCTGGCTCGCCAGATGCAGCTTGTCACGCTGGCCACGTGACCCGGAAGTGTCTGCGGACAGCGCTGGCTCCCGGCCTATAGAGAGATGAGCGCACAACCCTCGAGTCTGTCAAGACTGGCCCGTACGGGCAGGGGTACCTTTACCTTTATTGACTAAACAGTGTGACTCGTTGCGGGTTTAACACGAGCATTGAAAGTGCTACATGAAATAAAGCACATATTGACACCCCCCCCCGAAAGAGAGCACATTTCGATGTTTAGTGAAGGCCATCCTTTTTCTGGAGGGCTTTGCTTTCTATGTCTGCCCCATGTGTCTGATGTGTTCCTATATTTCACGCATGCTTTGCAAAGGAACAACGCTTACTAATTGCTGCAAGGTGAGTACATCAGTGAAAGAGCCCAATGGCTAGCAAGCCTTAATTAACACTGTCTTTTGCATTGGGGGGGGGTGTCATTATGCGCACTCTTGTACAACGGGAGAGATGGATGGGATGAGACTTGTTTGAGGATGTGTGCAGTTTCACTTGAGAAACCTCAGCTTGCAGGGTGCTGAAGTATTTCCTTTTTAAAGGTTTCCTGCAAAATGAGTCAGAGCAGCTTCTGCAACAGGCCTGTTAGCTTCTCGTTTGAAAACAGGCCTTTCCCCCTCACTAAAACGTGGCTACAGTGGTACCTCGGGTTACATACGCTTCAGGTTACAGACTTTGCTAACCCAGAAATAGTAACTTGGGTTAAGAACTTTGCTTCAGGATGAGAGCAGAAATTGTGCGGTGGCGGCAGCGGGAGGCCCCATTAGCTAAAGTGGTGCTTCAGGTTAAGAACAGTTTCAGGTTAAGAACGGACCTCCAGAACAAATTAAGTTCTTAACCAGAGGTACCACTGTACTGAACTCTGGTCAGATTGGCATGCAATAATTTGTTCAGGCTTGTGTTGTTAGGCACCAAAAAAAGTGCCCTGTGTTGCAAAACAGAACACACTGAAGAACAAGCAATACATCAGCTCATAAGATACTGACAATATTTTTATAACGCTATGCTGTTTCAAAATTCACAAACCGAAGACATATAATATGTGCATGGAGTCACAAACGAATAAGAATCAAATAAACGTTCCATGAACAGGAATGGTAGGAGTGGTAAGTCACTATCAGAGATCACTGAAATGGAGGCAGAATACCTTTCCACAGTCAATATCCTACAAATGTGAGATGATGGGTGCTCCAAACGTCGCAATAGGATGCTCCAAGCACAGCAGCAGACATTACAGTTCTTCCAGGATAATGAACTGTTTCCGTGATAAATCTTCATCACCTAGCAATAATATGAAATGAAAACCAGTGAAAGAAATGGCAGGCCTGCATGTTAACCAACCAATAATAAATACATACCAAATTAATAGTCCCCAAAGGTACATTAAATGGCCATGGATCAGCTATCATTAAAAAGTGTAGTAAGCTGATGCTGTTGGCAAAACCCAATTGGCATTAAAATGGCTCTCAACAGGTGCAGTGAATCACATAGAATTACAGGAAATTTAAAGGTACATTATCTGAAATATAGCAAAGAACATACAAACAGTAGCCATCTTGACAGAAAACTTAAGCAAAACAATTAAAATCTAATTCAGTATTTGTGTTGTTAGGCATCGGGGTCATGAGCCCTGAACAACCTCAGTGGTCACACGCCAGGGGGGCAACAAATGTTTTGTTTTGTTTTTCATGTGTACAGTAGGTTAGTCCAAAGGGTCAGATAGAGCCTTGAGTTCCAGTTCTGAGGTTCCCCACCTCTGGTGTAAATAATAGCAAAAATAAAGAAATTTGAGGATTGGGAAAAGATGCTTGGAGATGTCGGAATGAAGTTAAGAGGTTTTTAGCAGCAATGTTATAAAGGAATATGTAAAAATGGATTGTTAACAGGTGATAATCTAAAGTTATAATATATTAAGATAAAGGATTAAGATAAAAACAAAGAGGGAAAGGATTTGCTGAATTAACTAATTGAACTGGAATACAAAAAAGGGAGGTGTGAGGAGGTCAGGGAAACAAGCAAACGAAAGACAAGATATGGAAAGATTGATTTGTTTTTAACTGTTTTTACTTTTCTGTACTTTGTATTTTCTTTTTTCTTTTTCTTATTTTTGTAACATTTTGAAACTTTAATAAATATCTTTTAAAAAAGAGAGAGAGAAAAGATGCTTGGAAATTCCTGAGAATCCACTGAATTTTCTCGGTATCCTCCCAAAATGTGGATAATTACCAGGAATCAATCAACATTGACCAAGGCTGCTTTTTAGTGTAACAGGCAGCGCATACCTTTGTTCAAGCTGCTGCGCTATTTTCTACCTGCTTTTCAAAACACATCACTAAGGAATGCATACTTGATGTGAATTTGATTCCCTGCTCTCAGAGCATTGATGCAATCCATCTTCTTCCCGTTGATGAAAATTCAGCTGCAGTGGAAAGGGATGGGGGAGGTGTTTGTGGGTCTCCTTCCCAAAGGCTCAGCTTGACTCCCGAAGGTTAAAACAAGGGAACGGAATGCCGTTTCACAAGTTCTGGTTGACATCTGATACTTTATCTTCATTGAGTCCTTGCTAAGTGGTAATCAACAGTTTGATATGCAAAATGCCGTGGGGGGTGAGATTGGGGAAGGTCATCGTGAAAATGTGGAGTGCAGTCTCTAAATACACAACATTATTATGCCGGATCAGTCTGTTGGATCCCATCAGCTCCAGCCAGCACAAATGTTCTGTATTCAAATAGTGTGTGTGCATCGCGCCATGTGGCCAGTTACGCAGCTCTGCTCCCCCCAATATTTTATACAAGTTGGCCCCCCTGTGGGGCAGTAGGCAAATTTAATAATAATAAATTCCTGCAGAATTTTAAAAAAAATGAATTATTGCTTAAATCGAGTTCCATGCAGTCTCTTTTTAACATTGGCTACGGGGTAGTCATAAAACTACTGTTTTGCCAGAAGTCTAATTTATGCTGGAAATGTGGAAAAATGGAAGGAACATTGTTCCATATCTGGTGGAACTGCGAAAAAACCAAGACCTACTGGGGTATGATTCATGAAGAACTCAAAAAAATGTTAAAAACATACAGTTGTACCTCAGGTTAAGAACTTAATTCGTTCTGGAGGTCCGTTCTTAACCTGAAACTGTTCTTAACCTGAGATACCACTTTAGCTAATGGGGCCTCCTGCTGCTGCCACGCCATTTCTGTTCTCATCCTGAAGCAAAGTTCTTAACCCGAGGTACTATTTCTGGGTTAGCGGAGTCTGTAACCTGAAGCGTCTGTAACCCGAGGTACTTACAAAAGAAACCAGAGGCATATTTATTAGGTTTATTGGGAAAAGACATACCACAGAAAAAGAAAGGAATTTTCTTATATGCTATAGTCACCGCCAGGATACTATATGCCAGTAAATGAAAGAGCAAAGTAATACCCACAAAAGAACTGGCTATACAAATTAAGTCAGTTTATAGACATGGCAAAGCTAACTGCATACATAAGACAGACAAACCAAAAACTCAGACTAGAATGGCAGTGTTTTGAAGAATACATGGACAAACACGATTCAAGAAAGACTATGTTGATATGCTTAGATTAAAGGAGTAAAGTAGAAAGCATTAACTAGGAATGTCATAATGAGATGAAAATTTAAAAATTGCAATGATAGTATTGAATCTGTAAGATAAGGAAGTTGAGATGTTGTGGAGGGGAGTCAGAGGGTGTGGCGGTGGGAAGATATGGGGTTGGGAAGGATTTATGTGTATGTAAATAGTAGCCTGGACGCGGGTGGCGCTGTGGGTTAAAGCCTCAGCGCCTAGGGCTTGCCGATCGAAAGGTCGGCGGTTCGAATCCCCGCGGCGGGGTGCGCTCCCGCTGCTCGGTCCCAGCGCCTGCCAACCTAGCAGTTCGAAAGCACCCCCGGGTGCAAGTAGATAAATAGGGACCGCTTACTGGCGGGAAGGTAAACGGCGTTTCTGTGTGCGGCTCTGGCTCACCAGATGCAGCTTTGTCACGCTGGCCACGTGACCCGGAAGTGTCTCCGGACAGCGCTGGCCCCCGGCCTCTTGAGTGAGATGGGCGCACAACCCTAGAGTCGGACACGACTGGCCCGTATGGGCAGGGGTACCTTTACCTTTTACCTTAAATAGTAGCCTTATTTTTGTATGTCTTTGCACCGATAGGGTGCATTTCTTTTTCTGTATTACTAAAATTTAATAATAATAAAAAAACTAAGAAAAAAGAAAGAAAAACGCTACTGTTTTGCCATGTCTGCAGGTGTTCTTAAACCGAATGCTACCACTCCTGCCCACAATGTGACAAACACAACGACCCCGACTGCTCCTGCCGCCACAGTCAGCACCAACGTAAGCACCAGTGCCCACCCTGAAAATAAAACAAGCGCAAAGCCCACCACAGTGAAACCTGTGTCTCCTAATGTGACCACAGTGACTTCCAAGGCTACTTTGCCTTCTGCTTCTGTGACAGGTATGTGTTGATCTGCAGCTACGGTCCAGTAGGAAAGGAAAAGATCCTGAAAACTAGTAGCCCTCGGTAGACTTATCCTCCATGGAATTGTTCCATCATAATAGTAATATTTTTATTATGTGTACTCATCCCATCTGACTGAGTTACCCCAGCTGCTCTGAGTGGCTTCTAGCATATATAAAAACATGATAAAACATCAAACATTAAAAACTTCCCTAAACAGGGCTGCCTTCAGATGTCTTTTAAAAGTCAGATAGTTGTTTATTTCCTTGACATCTGATGGCCACAGGGTGGGTGCCACTACTGACAAGTACTTCTGCCTGGTTCCCTGTAACCTCACTTCTCGCAGTGTGGGAACCGCTAGAAGGCCCTTGGAGCTGGACCTCAGTTGAATGATGGGGTTGGAGACGCTCTTTCAGATACGCAGGACCAAGTTGAGAGTTGGTTGTGAGAAATAAGGTACGAAGGTTCATTCAGGCAGTGTTCTGAGGAGCTCATCCGTTTTAAGCCCCTCAGAAAAAGGGAGGTGGAAAAAAGATAAAGACGAGATTAAAAGCAGGGATGAAGACATGTCATAAAGCTCTTGGAACTGTAGCCAGTCAGTGGTGTGATTTGACTGCAGTAAAAGAAGCAAACTGATAGACTTCATTCTGCACTGGTCAGACATTGTCATGGGTACTGTAATTGGTTCTGGATGCCACACTTTAAGAATGATGCAGGTAAATCTGAACAGGCTTATAGGAAGGCAGTGAAGATGCTATATAAAAGTGGTCTTATGAGGGGGGTTGAAGGGACGCGGGTGGCGCTGTGGTCTAAACCACAGAGCCTAGGGCTTGCCGATCAGAAGGTCGGCAGTTCGAATCCCCACGACGGGGTGAGCTCCCGTTGCTCGGTCCCTGCTCCTGCCAACCTAGCAGTTCGAAAGCACGTCAAAGTGCAAGTAGATAAATAGGTACCGCTCCGGTGGGAAGGTAAACGACGTTTCCGTGCGCTGCTCTGGTTCACTAGAAGCAGCTTAGTCATGCTGGCCACATGACCCGGAAGCTGTGTGCCGGCTCCCTCAGCCAATAAAGCAAGATGAGCGCCGCAACCCCAGAGTTGGCCACGACTGGACCTAATGGTCAGGGGTCCCTTTACCTTTCCTTTATGAGGGGGGTTGAAGGAGCAGCATGTTTAGACTGGAGAAGATGAGGACCAGGTTGGAGTGGGGGACATGATAGCACCCTCCAAATACCTGAAGTACCATCACACCTAAGAGGACCAAGACTTGTTCTCCGTTGCTCCAAAGGGCAGGACTATCTCTTAAAAGGAGGGTATTTTGGTTGAGATTCCTAGAATAGTTCAACAAACAGTCTCTCTTCACAGGGAATTATGGGTCTTGTTGCTCTGTAAGGGGTCTCTCTAATAACTCCCAGCATGCTTCACAAACTACACTTCCCAGAATCCTTTGGGGGAAGCCATGATGGTGTGAAGTGGTGCCCTGGTGCCATGGCTATCGCCCAGCATTCTGGGACATAAAACTGGGGAGTGCACCCTGTATAATAAGCATGTCGGCTAGTTGTGTGTCTTCTTTCAGTCACTCCCAAAGGTGCAGCGGCTCAAGTCTCATCCTCGGGGTTCAGCGCAGGCAGCTTCATCGGCGGCATCGTCTTGACGCTGGGACTTCTTGCAGTTGGCTACATCGGATGCAGGACGTACCACGCGAAACGGGGCGTCCAGTACCGAACCATGTATGTAGCGGTCGGTGGAGTGTTTCGTCGCTGACCTAGATTATGTTGGTTTTAATTTTTGTATTACATTGTGAGTCGCTTTGAGTTCCCTTTTTTGTGACTAATAAGTTTCCAACAAAACAAACTTAAGAGGTCTCAGGTTCGATCCCTGGCCACCTCCATGTATGAAACCTTGGGGAGTCATTGCCCATGAACGGATCTAAATAGATCTAAATTGTCTGGCACAGTGCAAGGCAACCCTCTGCATTCACAGCCTGCGTGGCTCCAGTGAGCATCCAAAGCATAAGGTGTGGTATTCGGTGCTGCTCACACTCAGAGTAGACCCACTGGAGTTAATGGACAGGACTTAAGGTTCATTAAGGTCCGTGGTTTGTAGTTAGTTGAACGCAGCCCATTGTGTGTGCCCTGGCAGTGCTGTGCTAGTATCCCCCTGCGACATTTTTGCAGAACTCCTGGGCCCCAAAAATGGCATTATACTGCCTTTGATTGCAGATTCACCCTCCTGGTGTCCCCCTTAGACTGGGCTCACAATCTTCACACATTTAATGCAGTGCAAGAACAAGTACTCTAGTGACCCAAATGCCTGCAGGTGTTTTCATCCATGCTGCAGTTTTTGTCCCTGTTCTAGGCAAGACTCGCATGAACTTGCTTTGTTCTCCTGTCTAACCATGAAAGCCCTTTTTTTGTTTGTTTGCTTGCTTGCTTGCTTCGTTTCATTTCGTTTGATGGCTTCCTTTGATTTTTCTCGGCATCGGGAGAGGCCAGGCTCTCTGTGACATCCCCTCTTTTGAACTCCCTCAGCCACCTTGCTGCCCTCTTAGCTTCTGCTGCTTATCAGCGATAAACTTCCGTCCCTCCCTGCTGTTCGTAAAAAAAACCCACCTTACGAATGTGCACGTAGCCCCGTCTTGCTTCAGAATTGCTTCTTGCGTTAGCCCTTGAGCAAAGCTAAACTCCTCAGCAGTCCTGTTGGACTCTGAACGTTTAGCAGTGTGTTGGTGAGCTCTTTAGATTGGCTGTGGGGAACTTTCGGCCCTCCAGATTTCTTGCATAAGTTCTTGGAGGCCAGACTGGGAGCAGCCTCCGGGACCATATAACACAGGTCCTAAAGGATCTACACTGGCTCCCAGTACGTTTCCAAGCACCATTCAAAGTGTTGGTGCTGACCTTTAAAGCCCTAAACAGCCTCGGTATGCCTGATGGAGCGTCTTTACCCCCATCGTTCAGCCCAGACACTGAGGTCCAGCTCCAAGGGTCTTCTCAGTAGTGGCAGCCACCCTGTAGGAACACTCTGCCGTCAGATGTCAATAAGATAGGCCACTATTTGACCTGTTCAGGGAAGTTTTTAAGGGTTGATGTTTCATGGAGTTTTTGATATTTTGTTGGAAGCCGCCCAGAATGCCTGGGGTAACCCAATAATAATAATAATAATAATAATAATAATAATAATAATAATAATAGCCTTGGTGGTCAGAGGCTGCATACTTCTGAATACCAGTTTGCTGGAAACCACACAAGAGTACTTCTGCACTCGTGTCCTGCTGGCAGGTTTGCCCCATACATCTGGTTGGCCACCGAGAACAGGATGCCATAGAATCATAAGAGTTGGAAAGGACCCAAGGGTCATCTATGACAGGCTTCCTCAAACTCAGTCCTCCAGATGTTTTGAGACTACAATCCCCATCATCCCTGACCACTGGTCCTGGCAGGCTGAGTTTGAGGAAGCCTGATCTGTGACATACTAGATGGACCAACAAGTTCATCTTATGCCCAGGTGTTTCTGAACTACAACTCCCATCAGCCTTAGCGAGAATAATAATAATAATAATAATAGTCACACTTCTCTATTTGAGAGCCAGTATGGTGTAGTGGTTAAGAGCGGTAGTCTCGTTATCTGGGGAACCGGGTTCGCGTCTCCGCTCCTCCACATGCAGCTGCTGGGTGACCTTGGGCCAGTCACACTTCTCTGAAGTCTCTCAGCCCCACTCACCTCACAGAGTGTTTGTTGTGGGGGAGGAAGGGAAAGGAGAATGTTAGCCGCTTTGAGACTCCTTAAAGGGAGTGAAAGGCGGGATATCAAATCTAATAATAATAATAATAATAATAATAATAATTTATTATTTGTACCCCGCCCATCTGGCCATCCAACAAAGATGAAAAATACATTGAAATGTCACACATTTCAGATGTCTTCGAAATGTTAGGTAGTTGTTTATCTCTTTGACATCTGGTGGGAGGGCGTTCCACAGGGCGGGCGCCACTACCAAGAAGGCCCTCTGCCTGGTTCCCTGTAGCTTTGCTTCTCGCAATGAGGGAACTGCCAGAAGGCCCTCGGAGCTGGACCTCAGCGTCCGGGCAGAATGATGGGGGTGGAGACGCTCCTTCAGGTATACTGCCAGGGATGATGGGAAGTTCAGCAACATCTGGAGGGCCAACAGTTGCCCACACCTTTAGATGTCTAGGTGTGTTATTCCACTTGCTTCAAAATGTGCAAAGCCATGTCCCGGGCGCACCTCCTCCTCGTTCTTCTGGGGGGAGGATTGGACCTTTGCTCCAAAGTCAACTATCTTTAGGACAAAGGAAGAGGAATTGGCATGCCGGACATTGCCATTCCTTCTCAGCGAGCTCAATCTGTTTTATCTTTGCATTTGTTTATTTGCAGTTCCAGACTCCCATTTATGCATGGAATGCTCAGCCCAAGGCAGGCTTCAGTGGTGGGGGGGTCCATCTAATCTCAACCATCCAGAGGTTTCCTTGCACTTCACTTTGATGTGCTGTAGTTATCAAGCTGTGCTTTGCCAGTTCATCCATGCACATTTGTACTCCTGTGCGCAAGATCTTTCCGACATGCTTGCGCATGTATATGTCCTTGACATGTTTTCCTTGTTAACGTAGCTGGCTTCGTCATACCCCCCCCCCATTTTTTAAAAGTAATGCTTAAAAATCCCTCATGTTTCCTCTACTTCTGCCCCCATATTAAGTAGGAAAATGCCAAGGATTGGGGAGGGTATGTGGGCAGAGGGAAGAACCACACATGGCAGGATTGATTGATTGATTGATTGATTGATTGATGATGAATGAATGAATGAATGAATTTATATCGCGCCCTTCCTCTCTAAGGAGCCCAGGGCATCAAATAGACAAACTATCGAAAAAGAAAACAAAGGAAAAACATTCTAAAGCAGCCTTTCTCAACCTGTGGGTCCCCAGATGTTGTTGAACTACAACTCCCATCACCCCTAGCTAGCAAGGCCGGAGCTCAGGGATGATGGAAGTTGTAGTCCAACAACATCTGAGGACCCACAGGTTGAGAACTGCTGTTCTAAAGGAAGTTATAAACATTCTTCCATCCACTTGCCAGGGACGGTATTTTTCTGCTGCCAAATGCCTGGGTAAACTGAAATTCAAATTCCTCCTGAAGGTTAATAATGATGAAGACAGACTCACCTTGCTAGGGAGCACATTCCACAAGCAGGGAGCTACCACTAAAAAGGCCCTGTCGTGGTTTGGCACCAACCAGGGAGACCTTGGTGGGGGCACCACCAACAGGGCTGCACACAGTACTGTGTCACAGGGGATCTATTCTGCTGCTCTCCCCTTCCCCACCCAATTTTGTAAGAGAGGGAACCTATGAATTGGGTTCGATCTCTGTTGGTAGTCCCTTCCCTTCCTACAGGCTTGAGCATCGTTGGATCGGTCAGTGACTTCCTGCTTTTCCACTTCACAGTGCAGCGTTATCTCTAGCTGTCTTGGCTTGAGAAACATGAGCAGCTGCCTTATACCAGATCACATAATTAGTCCATCTAATGGTAAACCTCTGGGATTCCCTGCTACTGGATCTTTTTCATTGAAAATGATAGAGAATAAGGCTTGGGTCCAACTGTACAGTGCACACTGCTGAACAGTGGTCACTCCCCATGGGCTGTGGCTCGAACCCATAAGGTGGCCTTCCCCAAGGGGGTTCCCTCCAGATGTTTTGGACTACAACTACATCCGCTGAGGCTGGTGGGTGTTCTAGTCTGAAACATCTGGCAAGCACTGCATTGAGAAAGACTGTCATAAAAAAACTTCACTGCTTAGATGTCACAGGTACCCCAGGTAACTTGAGTCTGTTTATGACATTTTTAGTCACAGTGTAAGCAACTTGCACTGAAACCAGTTAAAAACAATGGAAAACATTCCAACCAAGGAAGAGTAGCAGATGAAACGAATGGACTATTCTGAAATGTCAGGAACTCGCTGGAAGAATCGGAAACCAGGAAGAAACAACTTTTAATAAAGAACGGGGGGATTGTGTAAACTGTGTGGAAAATTATTGTGTACAAATGGGATCATCTTAAAACTCATAGTTAAAACTATTGACTAAGAAATAGTGAGAGAATAAATGAAAATTGGACTATTGAAAAGATGCAGTAAGAAAATTATAACCGAAGGAACCACGAAAGTTGGGAGAAGGAAGCCAAATGGGATATTTGTATTGGATGTTTGTTTGGAAAATTGAAAAAAAATAAAAAATATTTTTTACAAAATAAAAACAATGAAAAACGAAAAGCCAGAACACCACAAGTAAGCCGTATACTAAGAAGGTCTGCTACGCACAATATATGGAGTGATGCGTCATCAGTGTAAATTTAATACTTAATGTTGTCTTCTTTTTTCCAGTGACGAACACGATGCCATAATTTAAAGCCTTCGCTCAGAAGACAAAGATGAAACCCCACTCTTGTTCCTGCTTTTAGAAGCAATCTCTTCCCCCTACGGAAAACAAGCTTTAAACTGTCCAGAGCCTACACTGGGTGCTTAATTGCTTTTCGGGGGGGGTGTACCTTTCTGTAAAATTATGGTGGACCCAGATTCCGCAAGGATCCTGGAAATTTCAAAGTGCCTTCACTGAAGAGTTCTGAGGACCGTCTACACAACTGGTCCCTACTTGGGGACTGAAGACATGAGCTTAGTTAAAAGTTGCGACTTCTTAGCCATTACACGCTGAAAATCAGGGGATGTGGGCTCCACAACAAACACAATGCTGTGAACATGCTTATGTCTACCACTCTTAAAGTTACATTGTCCTTCTGTTCAGCAAATAAACCAAGCTTCTTGTTTTCAAGATGGCAGGTGAATCCAAAAGCAACCTTTTTCACGTTGCTCTTCTTCAGTTTGTGGAATGGGGTTGTTTGGGCAGGGAGAAAAATATTTATGTTAATGATCTGATGTTGCATGTGCCTTGAATTTTTGAGGAAAATATTTTTCTACTTTTAGCATATACAAGAGTACGTAAAAGGGTTTTTGAATTTGGGCAGGAGAATTGTTTGCTTTCTTTCGTTTACCTTGTGTGTGTTTTCATAATGATGCATCGTCTGTGTGCTAGTACCCACTGGGTTGGAGGTATATAATTCCAGTTAATTTTCAGCGCAACCTTGCACCACAAAAGCAAAGACGTGTTTGGCAAGGTACACCAGAATAATTGCTCTGCTGGTTCTGTGGGTGGTGAAATCTTATCAGATTCAGTACAGTGTGTCATATGAATTGGCTGTGTGGGACAGTGGAATACATGTTGCCGGCCTGCCTGATATATACAGTTCCTTGACTAGTTCATTGCTTGAATTCAGGCTTGTGTCTGTTAAACGTCGTTGAGAAGAAAGGCAGATTCTTAAGAAAGCTTCCACTTGGGATTATTTAAACTTGAATACATTCTGGGGGTGTTTTTTAAAGGATGAATCACTGTTTTGAGAGAAGCTTGGCGTGGCGTACACAATATATATTTCTTTTCCTGCTCTTGCCTCTGTTCTTTTTTTATTATTATTTCATAGCGTGACATTTACCAGATGCAAAAGAGGGGAGTGCAGGCTTGTCCATGAGCCGTAATTCCTCTTCCAAGGAACTAGTTTGCATTGTCACGCTAAGCCACAGTTTGTTTTAAACCGTGGCTTCATCGCAGACCCCAGCAGCTACCATAAATAAGCCATAGTATGGATTGTGTTGCGCAAACAAGGACTGTGCTTCATAGGATGCTGTTTCAGACCTGTGGTGCCTTAAGCTCAGCGTTGTCTACAATGACTGGCTCTCCAGAGTTTCGGCAGGGGACATTCCCAGCTCTTCCTGCAGATGCCGGTCCTAGGACCTGGGACCTTCTAGTTTTGCGCAGTGACAGTATCGTAGCCAATGAGGTTAATCCAAGGCATGATTATTGCTGCTTGGACCTGGGACTTTCTGTGTGCAAAGTAAGATGCTGTGCCACTGAACTGTGGCCCATCCCTAAAACCACGAGCCATGAAACAGAAGGGGGGAAAGCCAATATTTATTCTGGGTTTATTTCTAGCTTTTCACTCGTGTTGTGTTTGGAACAATCAGAGCACAATCTGGGTTTGCATGACATGTCCAGCCATGTTGTGCACATTGACGATTAAGCCGCTGTTTGTAACAAACTATGGCTCAGCATGGCGTGAAAACCAATGTAATTTCAACTCTCTAAAAAGAGCTGTTCTCTGACTCCAGCCTTGCTTGCTGCTGAGAAAAATTATGCACTGTTCACAGAGAGAAGGGAAGCTTAAACTCCTTTCATTTGTTGTTGTTGGGGGGCGGGGGGCAGGACATCTCCTCTTCCTAGTTTGGACACAAAACTTCCTCCCAAGCTCCTGATTGTAGCCAGCAGACTTTCTCTTGCCCTCATGACTCCGACATCAGGTGCACATAAGGCTTTTTCTACTTCCCTCCCTTTTTGCATGGATGTAACTGTACAGATTATGGGACGTGGGTGGCGCTGTGGGTTAAACCACAGAGCCTAGGACTTGACGATCAGAAGGTCAGCGATTCGAATCCCGGCAACAGGGTGAGCTGCCGTTGCTCAATCCCTGCTCCTGCCAACCTAGCAGTTCGAAAGCACGTCAAAGTGCAAGTAGATAAATAGGTACCGCTCCACGCGGAAGGTATACAGCGTTTCTGTGTGCTGCTCTGGTTCACCAGAAGCGGCTTAGTCGTGCTGGCCATATGACCTGGAAGCTGTATGCTGGCTCCCTCGGCCAGTAAAGCGAGATGAGCGCCCCAACCCCAGAGTCGGCCATGACTGGACCTAATGGTCAGGGGTCCCTTTACCTTTTTAACTGTACAGATTGCAGTGGAGTTCATACCGAAGTTGTTTTGAAATATCTCTTTTTAAAAAACAAGCACGAAGATTAATTAGCCAATGCACTTGTTTGTTTGCTTGCTGTTAATGTGCCCACTGTTTTGATGGTCTCTGATTGCATATCAAAAGTTCCCTGAAGTTGGTGGGGGGCAATTAATGCATCTGTTTCATCTCGGAAAAGAACATACTAGCTTTTCACCACATATTCGGTGGAAGATTATTGAAACTACTGCAATGTTCCAAGATATAAGAAGCAAAAGAAAGCATCACGGGGCTGGTTAATAGCTAAAGGCTGTCGAGCAATGCTGTACTTATCATGGGCGAGTCTGTGAAATTTTTTTAACAAACACTTCCCAAGGGAAGCAGCTGGCACTATATATAGAAGCATTGTGTAATGGTGATTGTTGTGCATGCATCCAGTCTCCATGTACCCATAGGATGCTCCTAACAACCACTGCTAAGGGATGGATATTCACGATTGACAAATATTCCTCCAGTAAGCATATCTCAATATTGCAAGTGGGGAGTGCCTTCGAGTTACTTAGAAAACCCTTTGCTCTATTTAGCAGTTTTAAACCAGTTCTTCTTCCTGAATAATCTTGGCAACTAGGAAGTACATCTCCCGTTCCCAATCCCCATATTGCAATTCTTAGATTTTAGAAGTGGTGTGAAGCTGGTATCTGTTTGTCAACAGGCTTCTGGGAGTTTTTTTGTAATTCTCTTCCCCACCCCCCTTTCCCTCAAAAAAAGTTTAATATTTAATATGCAAGAGTGCTTACTGTTAAAATGATGGAGTCTGTTCGTTGAACAAGAAGATCGGGGATTGGGTGTCCATCTATTTTGAAAAAGATGAAACAATTAGATAGAGGATGCTTCAACCCCCCATTTTTTCCCCTGATGTGACAAGGATGCAAATTGTTCTGAGATTACCAGCTTTATTCCAGAGGTTTTCAATATTTTTGAGTCCACGGCTCCCTTGACCAACTACATTCTTTCTGCATCTGCCCTGGAGAGAAATGCTCTCCGAAGCCGTTATGTCCCCTCTTGCCTACAGAGCTGGCAGCCTCTCACCCTTTTCCAAACACCCTCCCTTGTGGATTGTTCCTTCAGCCTCCTCTCCCCTCTCCTTGGGAGTCCTCTGAGCTGCCACAGCTACCGCCCCTGGTCTCTGAGCTGCCCTCCCCCCAAAGAGAGGTGCCTCCTCACACTGCCCCACAGGGGCCTGGGAAGCACCCCCTGGCCAGCCCCAGATGCACCATTCAACAGGGGAGTTTGTAGCCAGGACAGCTGCAACAAACAGCTGTGCAAGCCTTTGGGAGGCAGAGACGCAAGAGGGCATCAGAGGAGGGAGGGAAGGGAAAGAAAGGGAGACACACTGTTTGAAAACCACTGCTTTATTCAATTAAACTTGAGGGCCTTTATTCAACATTTTGCATGTTTCTGTATTTGACGGTTTCTTGTCACCTACCTGCAATATATATTTGATTTATCTCATTTTTTTTCTGATGCCCTTCGCTCACAGAAATAAAGGTTAATGAAAACTTTTGTTTGCAATCTGAATGCTTTAAGGGATCTTAGAGGTTGGTTACTCCGAAGCCTACATTCTCAGCATGTTTGCATTCCTGTCTGTGGTGTGGTGGTTAAGAGCAGTAGACTCGTAATCTGGTGAACCAGGTTCACTTCCCCGCTCCTCCACATGCCAGCTGCTGGGTGACCTTGGGCTAGTCACGCTTCTCTGAAGTCTCTCAGCCTCACCTCACAGAGTGTTTATTGTGAGGGAGGAAGGGAATGGAGAATGTTAGCTGCTTTGAGACTCCTTAGGGTAGTAATAAAGCAGGATATCAAATCCAAACTCCAACTCCTCCTCCTCCTCTTCTTCACGACGTCTATGCCAGCTTGGTCCTATCCACAGAATGGAGGATGGCAAAATCCCCAAGGTGCTCTACAGGGAGCTGAGTTCAGGCACCAGGAGCGTTGACTGACCAACTGTGTTACAAAGATATCTGCAAATGTCTCATGAAGGCTGGCAACATCAACCCTGCCCTGTGGGAATCCCTTGCAGTGCCTGGAGACACATCGCTCCATTCAACAGTGTGACTTCATCCCCAAAGGTGCATTCCTCCATTGTGTCCTGAGACAGGCTGATGCCAACAACAGCACATTTATTACTCAGTACGGTGGGGTGTCCATATATCTGTGTGTTTGTGTGTATCTCGTTCTATAATGCTCAGATGAGATAGAGGTCCCCATAGCACTGAGGAGCGTATGATCCATTGGGGAACTCACACTGCCATCATTCTTGACCTTTAGCCATGTTGGCTGGGACTGATGGGAACTGGAGCTGAACCAAACCTGGAGGACAACAGGTTTCTCCACCCCGATCTTGTGTGAGGCCTGATTCTCGTATTGCTAATTATGCAGAGCCACTATGGGTCACCTTGGTGCATCTCGGTGCTCCCTCGTGTGGCAAGATAAGACGTATTGCGGCCAGGTAAAGTACAGAATTTCACAAGTGTGACCTGCAATGACACGTTACAACATGGATTGCCCCTGCTCAGGGTTTCAGCCAAACCATTTTCCCTTCCACTTTTGGCAGTCGTCAAGCATTCTCCGTTCACAGAGAATGCTAAGTCTTTGCTGGGCTTGGCTGAGCCCCCCACCCCAATGTTCTTTGGACTTCTGCAAGGGCCATGCCAACTCAGCTCATTCTATGCAGAGAGCCCCAATACCTCAAGGACTGCCGCTCCATACATGAATCAATCCTACTCTTCTATCCTTGGAAGCCAGACCTTTCTTGGGTGCATGAGGAAAGGAAGAGGTCTGGGAAGTTCTGGAAAGACTTGGGAAGTTGCCATATACCAAGGCAGACCAAGGGGCCATCTAGCTCAGGGGTAGCCAACATTGAGAACCTCCAGATATTTTGGACTACATCTTCCATCATCCCTGACCATTGGCCATGTTGCGTTGGGCTGATGGGAGTTGTAGTCCAAAGCATCGGAGAGAGCACCACACTGGCCCAACCCCTGAGCTAATATCATTAATATCTGCACTGCCAGGCAGTGGCTTTCTGGGGTCTGAAGCCATTTCAAACCCTGCCTGGTGGTGGAATCTGGGTCCTCACTGCACAGCACGACCATCACTGAGCTAAAGCCCATCCCTTATTCACACAAATTAAAGAGCAGCTGAGAAATGATCACTCGGGATGAGGTTTCTTAGTGGCCTAATCTTTCCTGCCCTTTAACATAAACAGGAGGTTTTATGATGCTGACTTTCTGAAACCTTCCCCAGCCATTCAGCCTTTGCTTAGGAAACTGGTGTTTATCTTTGCCTTTTGTCTGCCTGGGTCTGTTCAAAACTGTTGTGCAAAAAAATTATATATAAAGGTCACAGGGAGTTCAGTCCTGCACAGCAGTTAAGCATTCCTATTTCTGCAGCAGTTCCTCAAGCAGGGCTGTCAGAAATGGTTTGTTTTATTTTCAAAGCTTTGACACTTTATTTTCAAAGCTTTCAACATCCATGTGAGTGGGAAGGAAATTCACTTTGTTACAGTTATGACAAACGTTTCTATAGCTAAATATGTTATGCATTCTAGCTATAAGGGACTAAATTCAACCAAGCACTGATTATATATCCACATACCAACTCTTGAAAC